GCGCTTTGTACGAATAGGGTGCTAATACTTGTTCATGGTTTTTGTTGTGAGAATTGTTAGAAATTATAAATTATTTTGTAAATGTTGTAATTTAGCACGAAAGGCTTTTTTCAGAAAGGACAAATATTTTAATCTTCTCAAATGTCTGCATGACCCCTTTAAAAAAGTTAAAAATAATAAAAAATCCATAATAATAATAAAAAATAAATAAATAAAAAATTCTTAAAAATTCCAAATCTTGACAGTCTCGACTGTCCAACAATAAAATACACAACATATTTTTGACAGTCTATTTAATTGTTATTAAATTAATTGTAATAAAAAGTATTTTTAATTAAATAATATTATTTGCTAAAAATAATATTTAGTGTGCATTAACATTTTGTATACAACTGTTCCCACATTTTATTTTCAGTTATCACACAAATAAATGCGTTGACTATTAAGTTCAACTGTTCAACGCTATTTAATAATTATTGTAAGAGAAAAATCGTTTTTTTTTTGTTCTTTCATTTGTGACAATTTTTTCATTAATTACAAACCATTTTTTTGATCCCACAAAATGACAGCTTATTTAGGCTTCATTTTTGTGCGCGTTTCATTTTGATGTTTATAGAAAATAACATTCAATACCTTTTAAATTAAATTTTCAGTCCCCGTTTTGTACCCCATTTGTGTAAAGTGCATTATACCTAGTGTTTGACATCTGGTGCATTTTAAGCTTAATTTGTGTGAGAATAAAAGCAAGATGCCAGTGTTCAAACAGGCACTGCACTAGTGACGTCAAGCACCAGCTGCCTTAATGTTCACCAGAGGCTTTCACAGTCCACCAGTTCCCACATGCTGCAGAGAAACTCATTTGCTCCCTGTTTAAACTCTCTCTCCATCTTTCTTTCATCAACATGAATGTAATTCCCTCACGATTTCCACCTCCTTTTTCTCTTCCCTCCTCTCCTCTCCTCTCCTCTCTCTCTCCTCAAGCAGGGTAAGGTACCATCTTTCAAAAAGAAGCAGGTACTGAATCCTTCTAGACTCTGCTTAAGTTCTGCTGCTCTGCTGATGCTGCCCCTCCTCACGTGCCTTCACAAACACACACTAAACACACCTCGGCATGCACTTATAGGACAAAAAATTCACTCAGAGTGGGGAAGGAGGACTAAAGGTGCTTAAGTCGAGGTTAGATGCTTAATATTAGGTCAAAATTAAAATATGCCAGTTAACTAAACAAAACAAAAAAACGTCACTGCATTAGTGCTCATACCCATGTGATATGCTAACATGGAGCGTAGTTTACTTGGTCACATTAAACGTCATTAAACCTCAGAATTCTCTCTTTCCCCTGGGTCTTTCAAGCTTCTGTCCTTATAAAAAAAACTAAGAAATCCTATGTTTTTCTATACCCTTTCAGTTGTGATGATGCAGTTGTTTCAATGATGCCAATGTACTCAAAAGCCATTGAAATAATCAGCTTCTCACACAGCGTAGCCTGGATGCTGAACTTTTTAAGTATTCTGTTTGAAAACTTTAAAAGTATAGAACCCAGGTGCCACTCTGACTTTCCCTTAACAGAGATCTGTATTTATAGTCCATGTAGTGTAGGTCACAATTTTTGGTTTTGTTATAATTAGACGTAGCTATTTAAAAAGCTACAATATACTTAATGTTTTTCTTACCATCATATCACTCTAGATTTGCACTAGCTTCTTTGAAATCCTGCTGACAGAAATAGATTCAAAGTGCATTGCATATGTTCCTCTGCAGTACCTCTTATGATCCCTCTCTTCTTTGAATTTTAATTCAAGACCTTTTGCTTCCCCTTTGGACTGTTTTCTAATAATCTGCATGGTTTATCTATTGACTTCAGAGATCTTTCATATGCACACTGTTCTGATGTAATTGAGTGGCACTAATGGTTTTGTGTGTTGTGTGTTGTGTGTACCAGGGCTCTGCCTCGGTGGTCTCAGGCACCCCATCGATACTGCTCGCCTCAATGAGCACAGATGTTGTCTGTGAGCGTGTCAGACTTATCGACGGCATCGACCAGAACATGCTTTCTCAGTATACAGCCACCATTAAGAAGGTATGCATTTGTGAACAAACAAAAAAAGTACACTGAGAAGAAAATATTAAACTTGGTTCTTTTGCACTATGTTCAGATTTTTTTTTTTTTTGTCAGGCTAACATAAATGGCAGAGTTCTGTCTCAGTGTAATATTGATGAGCTGAAGAAAGAGATGAACATGAATTTTGGAGATTGGCAGCTTTTCAGGACAACAGTGAGTAGTTTTCTATTATTTATATAACAAGTTGTTCAAGTTTCTATATGCCTTGCTAACATACAAAAAAATTATACATAATGTAAAAATGTATGTATAATTTTGTATTATATGAATACATATGAAATGTATTTCATATGAGTTTAATATTTATTATTTAATATTATAATTAATAGTTGTATATATTTTTTAATTGTTATAATTGTTTACACACATTTAGAGTGTTTTCTTTTACAAAATAAATAAAATACATGCAATAATAGCTTGAAATAATACAGGATAGCCATAAGTTTATAAACTCTTTTGCTCAAAAATAATGGCATGCATGGCAGATTGGTGTGTAATTTTTTATGTTTTTACACACTTGTTGCTACTTAGTCTTTGAAAATTTGACAAAACCTCATCTGTGTTAGCCAGTTCAGTAATTTTACCTAGCAATATTCACAACTAAATCTCATAGAAACAAATGTTGTAAGTTTACAAGGTATACCAAAAAGCATGTACATTATCAAGAAATGTAAGATTGACCCAATAATGCAAGTGACAGTGCCGTTAACTGGCCTGGAAGTCTCTCACACCCTAGATACTGATGTGATGAAGTCGATGTTGTGCAGGTGATTGAGCTCCGTCATGTGGAGAACCAGATTCTGAATGAGGAGGCTCCTAGTGAGCAGGGCAGCAGCACGGTTGGCCATGTGGAGTCTTGCAGGCACACTGGAGCATCCGTTCACGGAGAAGTCGGTAACACGGACACCTCACCCATGTACAACTTCAACCTCAGCTTTGAGGAGCTTAGTAACGTGGGCTTGGATGAGCCTCCTAGGCACTCCAACCCTTCGTGGATGGTAAGCATTTCTTCCTAGGTTCTTGCAACCCTTTTTTCCCAAACCACTCCATATTAGACATTTATCTCAACATCTCTTGTCCTCTGTAGGCCACCACTCACCGTACAGCTAGCATGTCCAGCCTCAACTCTCAAGAGTCCTCCAATGAAATTTGCAAGCTAACAGACAAGCAGCAGGCCGAATACCACAATGCCTACCAGGAATACATCGCCTCTATGGCTCAGATTGAGGTTGGAATGGAGAAGCCTGTGCCACCTTTTGTTGGCCAGCTAATGCACTCCAGCTCTGAGGACAAGAAGAAGGATGGAGGTGACCAAGATGCGCGCAAATCCGTTTCAAAACGAGGGAGCAGTAAGTCCGGGCCCGATAATACAGACTACGCCTCGGCGGACACGGCCACTTTAGATCCTATAACAGAAGAGGATGAGAAGGTTGACCATGGGTCATCAAAGTCCCTTCTGGGACGCAAGACATCTGGAGAGAAGGTGAGCCTCTTCCAGGGTGCTGATCTGAAGCTGAAGCCTGGCGGTGGTTTACGCTACCAGAAACTTACCAGTGATGATGAAGAGTCTGAAGAGTCGGACAATGCCCCTCTGCTCAAGGATGGAAAGAAACCCGAGCCCAAAGCCTCAGATGCTGGAGATCGATCTCTGGCCAAAGGTAAGGATTACCTTTCAGATAAGAAGGATTCTTCTGACTCGGGTGTCCGCTCCAACGAAAGCTCTCCCAACCATTCTTTGCAAGACGAAGAGGCCGACCTGTCGCAGTCTGAGAGGGCTAACCTGATTGAGCTGGATGAGGAGAACTCAGCTCGAAAGCGAGGGCTGCCGAATAGTCTGAGTGGCCTCCAAGACCCAGCTATCGTCCGCATGTCCATCTGCTCTGAAGACCAATGCAGTCTTCTGGCCAGCAGCCCCGAAGAGAGCTGGCCTTCCTCCAAGAGCTACAACCTCAACCGTACACCCAGCAACACCACCCTCAATAACAACACAAACGCCCAACAAGGAAACAACGTTCGCCAACCCACAGATAGCTCCACCACCACTGGAAGTGACGTCATCATGACTTCTGGTTCCACCACCACCCAAAATGAGAACATCCGTGTGGTGCATCTGAAGAGAGGGCTTAACCCTGGAGATCCTCCTGAGATCCTCAAAGTGTCCTCTGACACTGTCACCTTCGGAGAAGAGCGGGAAAGTATCCTGTAGGCGACGTCTGGATCTACAGCAGTCTTGGATAATTAATGTTTTGTGGTGTCAGTGCATGGCTAAATACACGCAACAGTGACTGTGACATTTCTAACTGTTAAGTGTAGTTGAAGTGTGCGTAATTCACAACTGTCCATCACCTACTCATCATCCACCATCTTATAGTTACATATATGTGGTGTTTCCGTACAGTATTAGTAGCTTAATCATGTATTAATGTTACCAGTTGTATGGCTATAAAGCATTTTGATATCGCAGCTGTAGATGAATATTCAGTAGTGTTTCCCAAAGTAAAGTATTGTAGTACCTTGTCATGGTAAAGCACCCAAACTTAGTGTAAACCCCTTAAAAAGTATGAATATTAACAGTCGTTCTGGCTTGGAAATGTGTCGTATTGCGTTGTCCTGCATGCTGTCATTGTGCTGAAGTTACAGTAGTATATAAGCAGTGACGAGCATGTGCCAGACTGCAGTTCTAAATTAGCCAGTAGAAACTGCATGCCCTGTGATATATACTGTACTTTTGGCAGCTGTCCTGAAAAGTTAAACGTGTTTTGTGATGCTTGTCTTCAACATGGTATGAAATAAACCTGCATTGACAGTATCCATCTTTCTTGAGTCTTTGTTTGAGGAAGAAAAATTACTGAAATAAACATTTTGCCTTTCTGTACACACTTGTGTAGATATGTGTTCCCATGAGACTATTTTAACTATTTAAAAGGAATCAATTTTCTATCAATACTTTTCGCAGTAAGATTAGTCTTGCGCAAACGAATTGTTTTCTCGGTCCCTATAACTAGCACCGTTACACAAACTTTTTTTAAATAAAAATTAATGAAACATTTTGAACCCCCGCCCCATTGTCCCAAACCCCTCATAATCTTACCCTTACACCCTTTACAATACTAGTTTCACAGCCTGAACGGTAATAAGTTAATAAACTACGCATTTGCAAAAATTAAGAAAATACAACAAAAACAATGCATTTGTAACCATAGCTCAGACAAGGACACTGACTTCATACTTAGCATGTAATTATGTACAGTATAAAAGTGCCATTTACGTTATAATTATACAATTTTCTGTAATATTATAAACATCACATTTTCAGCAGAAAGAGAAAACAAAAGTACATTTTTACAGAGTCCGCAGCCTTTTGACAAACTGGATTGCATTTTGCACATCTTGCCAACATAAAAGCAAAGGGGGGAAAAATCCTGCTTTTTGAGATTGCTTAATTAGAGTTTTCCTTTAAAATCGCTCCAGTCTTTTTGAATCTTCCTTTGGAAGAAAGAATATGAAAGTCCGTATATAACTAACTCAGAATCTGTTTATGTCCGTTTGAGGGAATCCTTTGTCATTCAAGACGAAGTCCAGGCAAATGAGTCTGACACGGGACAAAAAACACAAAAAGCCCGTTTTTGCTCCATGACCGAAACACCTGCAAAAGATAGTGTGTGAGAGAGAGAGAGAGAGAGAGAGAGAGAGAGAGAGAGGGGTGTTTAGAGAAGGCAAAAGGACAGAGATCCGGACAGACTGGCGCCACAGGACATTTTTTTCGGACTTTTAAGTAAACACTAGCGAAATACCGGGCAATCCCATACAGCTCCAGAGGGAGGAGTTTACACGAGCATCTGACGTACATATATTTGATAGTAATGTATAATAATGTAGCTATAATCAAGCATTATTGAACAATTAATTCACCAAAAAATTCAGATTCTGTCACGCTCATGTTATTCCAAATCTCTATGACTTTCTTCTGTGGACCACAAAAGGAGTTTTTTTCTTTTCTTTTTGTGCTTCACAGAATATAGTTAATTTCATTCTTTGAGTGTTTTCAGAATCATCTTCAGTTTTGAGAATCAACGTTTCATGACATTTCTAACCTTTGTAATAAAACGTATTCTGTTAAGCATTACATCATGTTTAAATGACTTATTAGTTATAAAATATCCCTGTCTAAGTCCGTACATAATGTATAATAAACATGTACAGGTGCGCTGCACCGCTGGCAAACAACCCAACTGCCCCACGTGCAAAAGTGTAACTTAGTTGCAGCTGCTCATGTGAAACCGTCGATTTCAGAGTAACGTTATAGCATCTAACTTACCATTTCAACGAGACAGGGTTATGAGGTCCTCTGAGTTGATCTCTCTTTGAGGGTTACTGGGCTGTTAATTAACAGAAGTAAACAATGATTTTCAGTGTATCTGCCAGCACAAGTTAAATTTCATATCGGTTTATAAATGATGCTTCTTTTTAATTATTAATGCTGACATTACATTACATATTGTTCATGTCGCGTTTTTATTAATGCTGAAATTACACTGCACGCTGTTGTCATTGGACATATTATTTCTATGTTCTTTCTTATATAATTGCGACGTAAGATTTTTCATTAGGCTACGCCAATGTGAATTAATTTGACTTACCAGCATAGTAAGTCAGTATGAAATGCAAGTAAATGTCTTACCTGGAAGGAGATGATGCTGATATCAGCTCCGAGTGATCTGACAGTCTTTTTCGGAGGGCTCTGTCCGAGGATCTGCGGTTGCGGGTTCTGGTCCAGTGCGATCTGAAGATCCAGAATGTAGTCTATGACATGCTGCAAGATCTCCATGTTACTCGCGCTCTTGTTCTGCGGTAAGCTCGGCACGAGCTCCTTCAACCTGCTGTAGCAGTCATTCATGTTGTACAGGAGACTGAGCGGGTCGTCCGAGGAGCTCTTGCCCCGTGAGCTGCCGAGATTATGCTCCGAAAAAAACAAGGCGGGTTTCCTTATGGACCTCACCGGACTGACTGCCTTCATAATGGTTAACGATGTTGTGGTTAATTTCAGGACATGCGATTCTCCCACAGATCTGTGCTGGAAGCTTGCTGTCAATCGTTTATATAGCAACCGAACTAGGTTCGTTATGAGGCATAAAGAATTAAGCGGATTGGTCGATGAGACGACGTCATTCTGTGAACCCGGGGCATCAACATTGGCCAAATTTGCAGCACGTGAGCACTAGTGCTGGGTCGTTCTTGAACGATTCGTTCATTTTGAACGAATCTTTAATGTGACTCGGGAAGAACGAGTCGTCTCGGGGAGTGATTCGTTCAGTCGCGCATGCGCAACATCCTATAGGTTCTGTACTGGAATTAGTCAAGTAGTTCACCTGTCTCGAGTCTTCGGGTTTTTCGAGTCGTTCGTTCATCACGTGACAGCCCCATAAGCTTAACCAATGCAGTCGGAAAGAGACTTAATAACCAACTATTTATTACCTTTGTTACAACATTCAGTGTTATGGAAAAGAACCATCATGACAGAAATTCACACATTTAGAAACTGTAAGAAGTAAAAAGCTACAATTTGAGACCAGAAACGCATCACCTAACTGTAAGAGTAAATAATAATGATAATAATAATAATAATAATAATAACAACAACAACAACAACTATGCACCCTTTGGAAGGAAGCTTGTAAATTAACTAATTTCTCTATCCAATGCTGTTGTAGCAGGAGTGATAATCGGAAAGGGAACTTCCAGGTGCATATGTCTCACTACACCACACACACACTCACAATAAGATTAAGCGTGAACACACTGCACTCCGTGACAGAGTCCCACCACCAACACATGAGGGCCTACTACCGGCCTGCCTGGAAGCCTCGGTTCCTGCAATAGAACACAAAATTAACCAAATAATCTCAAACAAAAGAAATAATGCTAACAATTGTACAATGCTTACACTTAAATACAAAATCCAAAAGAAAATCAAAACACCTCCTCTCCTATGAGGTTAAATGTCTCATCAAATCGAGGTGGATGTTCCTTACAATTACATATAAACATACCAATAAA